ATTTGTTAAAGACATCCAGAAATGTAACAGATGTTGCCAACACGGAGCTTTCTAATATAATTTACTGTTCTATTAAACATAAAATATTTGTTAAAGACATCCAGAAATGTAACAGATGCTGCCAACACGGAACTTTCTAATCTAATTTACTGTTCTATTAAACATAAAATATTTGTTAAAAACATCCAGAAATGTAACAGATGTTGCCAACACGGAACTTTCTAATCTAATTTACTGTTTTATTAGACATACAATATTTGTTAAAGACATCTAGAAATATAACAGATGCTGTCAACACAGAACTTTTTAATCTAATTTACTGTTCTATTAAACATAAAATATTTGTTAAAGACATCCAGAAATGTAACAGATGTTGCCCTAATCTAATTTAGTGTTCTAGTCTCTAGATCTTGAAGATTCTTTTTCTTATCTGTATAGAGTTTAGACTGTCAAGAGATCTAAAGTGCACGCCAACTATTGGGTTTCGATACATTCTGTGGGCAGAAACACATACATAGCCTATTATATAGCTTTGTGGTTAAAAACAAACAAAAACCCCTAAAGTCCATGAATTTTAGAGTATACAGTTATAACGCTTAGTTTCTTGCAAGAAAGGGTAACTCGTGTTTTACATTTGCGCAGACCTAAGTCTGGAAGTAGTTTTATGAAACTATGAGATTTTAGTTCGATAAAAGAGCAAGTAATGTAAAAGAATGAATACAAATATTGTTCCAAGTTACCAGTTTTGGCCAGCCTTCGGTGAGATCATATTATCCTTTTCTTTCCGCTTATGCTTCCCAGTGGCCCAGTGGTATGTCTGCGGACTTATACTGCTAGAAACCGAGTTTCGATACCCGTGGTGGACAGAGCACAGATAGCCCTTTGTGTAGCTTTGTGCTTCATAATAAACAACAACAAATTTCCGCTTAGATATGTTTGTTTGTTTGTGAGATATCTGCTGTACCCACCATGGAGAAGCGAACCTCCGATTTGAGTCCGTAAATTTACTACTGTAAGTCCCAACAGGGGAGTTAAGTGTTTCCAATATACATAGACTATATGCCATTAATGCAGATAAAATTTAAATATATTTGCTTTATTGGTGACAATCTTCATTTTATGTTTTAAAAAAATGCAAGAGCTGACGGTAGAAGGGGTGACTAGTTGTCTTCCCTCTTGTCTAAACTAGATTCTAGAACTAGAAACTACAGTCTAAACTAGAGACGGCTAGCACAGATAGCCTTCTCGTAGCTGTGCGCGAAATCCAACCAAAAAAACAAACAACCTAGTCATTAAAGTTGTTTGCAGTAATTTTTATTGTAATGTTTTTATTTTTACAATTAATATGTAAAGTGTAAACATTACTAATATTGGAAAATATGCAGTTAAATAACATATTTTGTGCTTTAAGTTCCAACCGAACCACCAGAACCAGAAATAATGAATGTTGGAGACACCACTGTGGAGTTGAAACTTTTCCCTATAGAATTCCACGAAGGACCGATCAGGTAGATTTGAGAACGTTTTGGAAACATTACATAAGATATTGTTTTTGTTTTCAGCCATACAGTTTTTTCAACGATGTGCTAAAAGCATGAAGGATTAAGTAGTAGAAAGAAACAGTTTATTTATGCTAGTTTACTTTTTTAAACCTTTATTTTTTGTCGCGAACATAAACTTTTTTTGAAATTTGTGTTCAATGATTTCTGTGAAAGGAACGATTAAGCTGACATCACGAATTTTCGTTAAATAACTTAGAGACGAAATTACTTATGTCTTAATCTTTAATTCTGCCATATGCAATACTTCTAATTAGTCAAACCACTAAGAGAAGGCGATAACCTTTAATTTCCAGAAGGCTAGAGTATCCAGATTACCAAAAAAAGAAGTTAATACCCATCATATTACTAGAAGTGTGGAATATTTATGAGATAAACCATCGCAACGCTTATTTACAGAAACGTTAGGAGTAATTAAATTTACATTCGAAAATGCTTTTCACAGATAAATACATTTATTTCTCGGAGTAAGTAAATAATGATGGTTTATCCAAATGCTCAAACAATACCCGAAAATTTTACTATATAAACGATATTGTTTGGAAATGTTTTAACACTGCCACTACCAAAGGAATATCAGTCTCTGTACCCATTGTCCAAACAAAATTAATTGACTGTAACAGAAATCTTTATTACTAGACTTGAACTGATAAATATATGGCGAATATTACAACGCCATATCCTTCCAAAACCACACTGTATGCAGCGTGAAATCAGAGATCATTTTCGAATTGGGATTCAGCTAGAGTCACTTAACTTATAACTGAATACGGCTAAAACCAATGATGACAAGAACTAATGTAATAGTAGTTCCTGAATCATTGTTGTTCCTCAAGACGTGAGAAGAAAAACTTGGCCAAAAGATAATAAATGGAAAACTTTCTCAAGTTTTATTTTGTGCGAAGTTTAGAACAGACGCCCTAATTCCATTATAACACAGTCTTTACTGCCTGACGAAGGGCGTCTGTCCGAAACGTCGCACAAAATAAAACTAATGTGGTAGTACACATGTGATATGAGGTAGATTACCACCACACATAACAGTGAATGGGTACAAGAAGAAGCTTGACTAGAAAAGCAAATCAAGGATTTGAGTCAAGATGAAATATTCTTCACAATCATTGAGACTCAGAACTATTAGTTACACTCTGGAAGGACATGAACTACCAATAACTTAGGGCTGTTCGTTCGAAATCTTAAACATCCTATCAGAACGAAACGTAAACAAAACCGCTTTTATCAATATCAAAAACTTAGCCAACCACATGCGTTATTGGTCTCATTTAGCTTACAGCGTAAACCACCAGGGGGAAGACAATCACTACAAAAATATCTGTCAACCACATGGGTTATAGGTCTCATTTAGCTTACAGCGTAAACAACCAAGTGGAGGACAATCACTAGAAAACTCTCAGCCAACCACATGCGGTATTGGTCTTGTTTAG